ATAATAATAATAATAATAATAATAATAATAATAATAATAATAATAATAATAATAATAATAATAATAATCCAAACAAAACTATATACAAAATAAAATTAAAATTTTTTTAAAAAAAAAAAAAAAACAAAGACAAAAACAAAGAGGAGTCACAAACACCTTTTGTAAATGATGTGGGATCATTTTGATCACACATTGAAAATGTTTGAAAAGAGAGAGCTCATCTATATAAGAGGGGCAAAACTCCTCTTACAAACATAATTACTAGCACATCAATGTGGGCAAGTATTGAGAAGTCAAAAAGTTCTTATTTAAGAAGCTTTAGCGTTGTCTTCATATTTTAGTTTTTATTAATTTATTTATTATTTATTATTTATTACTATTATTATTTATTTATTTATTATTAGTAAGAGTTTGGAAAGATTAACCCAAAATGTATGCGTTGTTTTAGTTTTTAGCAGTTTAGAGCAAATTGCTAAGTTATTAAATAATATTTTTAGTTTTTTGATTAAATATAAAATATTAAACAAACGAATTTCTTAAAATTTTGGTGAATTTTCCAAATAATCAAATTACAACAAAAAAACAACAACAACAACAACAACAACAATAACAACAACAACAACAACAACAACAACAATAATAATAATAATAATAATAATAATAATCCAAACAAAACTATATACAAAATAAAATTAAAATTAAAAAAAAAAACAAAAACAAAAACGAAAAAAAAAACAAAAAAACAAAAAAACAAAAAAAAAACAAAAAAAAAAAAAAAAAAAGACAAAGGGGAACCGCAAGCTCCCTTTGTAAATGATGTGGGTTCATTATCATCCCAAAATGAAAATGTTTGAAAAGATGAGCTCTTGAGCTCCTCTATATAAGAGGTACAAACATAATTGTTTGCTCATCGATGTGGCGAGTATTGAGAAGTCAAAAGGTTCTTATTTAAGAAACCTTAGCTTTGTATTCTTATTATAAAATTATAATTATAATAATAATAATTATAATAATAATAATAATTATTATTATTATTATTATTATAATAATAATAATAATTATTATTATTATTATTATTATTATTATTATTATTATTATTATTATTATTATTATTATAATCCAAACAAAACGATATACAAAATAAAATTAAATTAAATAATAAAAAAAAAACGACAAAAGGGAGTCACGGGCTCCCTTTGTAAATGATGTGGGATCATTTTGATCTCACATTGAAAATCTTTGGAAAGAGGACCAATGCTCCTCTTACAAACATAATTGCTTGTCCATTAATGTAGGCAAGTAATAAGGTGGGTGTGGTTGAGTGTAAGGGACTCATCCATCCTTAACCAAAGGTCAAGGGTTCGATCCTTGGATTTGGGAACAGAGCAGCCTTAAATATCTAAGCCAGCTGTTCCACCCAAAAGAGGGGCACCCTGGGTTTACCAAAAAAAAAATTAATGTGGGCAAGTATTGAGAAGTCCAAAGTCTCTTCTTCTTCTTCTTTTTTTTTTTTTTGGTTGTGGTTAGAAGTAAAGGAAAATTGAAAATGGAAAAGAAATATTTCAATAATAATATTTTAATCATCAAATAGTAAAGACATATTTTAAAAAATAGTAAAGATAAATTAAAAATGGAACGAAAATATTTCATTAATAATATTCTACATCATCAAATTAAAATGGAACGAAAATTAGGTAAAAATATCACTGCATCTATATTCTAATTGACTAATTGATTGAAAATAAAAAAGAATAATTGACTGAAAATGAATCTAATATTACTAATTGACTTAAAATATAAAAGGAAATGAATATTAATAATTGACTGCAAATAAAAAATGATCTATAATTGACTAAAAAATGGTCAGATCATTGCATTTTAATTAAAAATGGAATGGAAATTAAAAATTAGGGGAAAATATTTCAATAATAATATTCTACCTTATCAATAGTAAATGCATATTTTAAACAATAGTAAAGGTAAATTAAAAATGAAACGGAAATATTTCAATAATAATATCTACACCATCAATTAAAAATGGAACAAAAGTTAGGCAAAAATATATAAAAAAGAATAATTGGCTGAAAATGAATCTGATATTACGAATTGACTGAAAATATAAAAGGATAACTAATTGAGTGATATTCTACCAGGATAACTTGAGTCTGTAAGCAGTTGATGCTGAATGGGGTAATCACAATGGAGTTTGTGAGATTTGAAAAGAATATTGTAAACCCCTTCACAAAAGGTCTGAATTGTAAGACCGTCCTTGATACTTCAAGGAAGATGGGTTTGAAATCCAATGAGGTAAGAAATTCGTGATGCACCACCTGTGTTGGGCAAATGAGATCACGGAAAGACTTACAAAACTGTAGAGTATAGTGACAAATCTGTAGCCGAATACAGGTGGTCTGTGCTGAGATAGACTTGCCAGATTAAAGTGTCTATATATAGAGATAGACGAAACATGGATTGTTACAAAGTTAATGAGTGCAACTAAGTTCAAAACGCGACTGACCGATGAGTTCAAGATCAAATTCACTCTCGAGAAAGGGTTACTTGATTCCACTACATGTCAGTTCAAGTTTTATACAATGATATGGAAATTAACTCTGGTGTGCACTCAGGTTGGTGCGGTATAGCCTTGCCACTTTAAATGTGTGGGGGATTATTGGGAACATTTAAGAAGCATTTAATGCAATGCTTGAGTTTGTCTCTTAGTCCCACATTGCTTGGCTTCCTCACTATTTCTCACCTTTTAAACTACAACCTTTCTTAGAAGTCTTGAAGTGTTATGAAGAGGAAACAAGGGGAGATCCCACGCGTGAAGCGGTGTGCTGGGCTTAAAATTTTGCTTTCGCACAAACTGTGAACGTGCGTGGTTCTCCTTTTTGCTCTCCCTCTTTGTAGCAATTCTTCATGGATGGTAATGAAAGAGTTGTTACTACTTCCAGTATATAACATACTCCTTTCATTTCATCATACACGCTGAACCTTCATTACTGCCTGAGTTATATGAACGCTATTGTTCTTGTCCATCTGTGTTTTCCTGTCGGGAGCATGCGATACCCCTGGTCGCAAATGCTTTTAAGGGCGTGTTAATACACACGCCATAGATATAACCTTATCTACCATATTTTCCAGTTTTCTTCCCATCCAGGTTTCAACGAAAGCTGCTGTGCATTTTCGACGTTGCTGATATACGAACACCGGGTACAACAAGAAAGGCAAAGGCTTCTTGTTTTCCTTAGTCTCTATTAGTATATAAGTGCAAAGAACAAAGTAAACTTAAATCACTTAGCATAATAGAATTGTTCTCTATGGTGTTGCATTTTGTGATGTGTGGAAGATAAACGACCACCAAGAAGGCAAGAATCCTACTCAATAATCAATTTACTCAAAAATTTATCTGTATGCATATTTTGAGTAAAATTTATCAACTCCTATTGTGCTTAATAATGATTTTAATCCTTCTTTAAGCTTTGCAAATACCGTGGGTCAAAGTAGAGGGCATACTGTTGCTCCACGATTCACTACTGTGCCATTAAGTTGTAATGGAAATAATGCGATTAGTGAGAAAACCACTAGCCAAACGTGGTCTGAGCATTTTGTCCTTGGTCAATAAATATATTTAAATGACATTAAAATGACTTTATTAACCCCTAGAAATCCTCCCTTTTCTTCTTAGTTATAGAACTACTAGTAGATTTTTATAAAGTAGACTTACGCACTAGACTTAAGGTTTGACATGGAGTAAACATGTGGTTTTTTCAATTGTACTTTTTTGGATTTTACAGCAGACGTATATATAGATAAAAGTTTATTACCAAAAAAAAAAAAAAAAAAAAAAAAAGAGGAGGGCTTGGAGTGATTAATAACAGCATTTATAATATCATTTAAACATATTTGTTGATGCATGAAGGATTAAAAATGATCGCATGCACCAAAATAATGCTAGGACCGAATAAAATGTTTTGAAAAAAAAAAGGAAAAAAATGGGTCAAATAGGCTCTTGAACTTTACTCGAAAGTGTAATTAGGTCCCTGAACTTAAAAAAATGCAATTAAACACTCAAACTTGTTAAAATGAGTCAGTTCAGTATGATTTACCAGTAAAATTCTGGTCGTTGAACACTATTCATGACCGTAAAAAAAATAAAATTGGCAGCACCATTTTCCGGTTTTCTCCACCGGAGAAGACAACCGACCGGTCGTCTTCTCTGGTGGAGAAGGCGACCACAGTCTGGTCTTCTTCTTCATGGAGATGATGACCTTCTAGAATCGAGAAGGCGACCAGATCTCCTCCATGGAGAAGGCAACCCGATTGTGGTTGCCTTCTCCACCAGAGAAGACGACCAGATCTGGTCATCTTCTCTACCAGAGAATGCGACCATTGGTCATCTTCTCCTATGAAGAAGACAACCGATAACAGTTGCTGGATTTTTTTTTTTAAATCTATAGAGTTGCCAGAAATTTTTTTTCGCCGAGATTGTCGCCAGAATCTTAATGACGGGTCATTTCAGGTAAATTACCGATTATTGAGTTTAGATGCACTAAAATGATAAGTTTTGAAGTTCAGGAGCCCAATTACACTTTCGAGTAAAGTTCAATGGCCTATTTGACCCAACTAAAAGTGGAGTAACACATAAATCTAGAACCCAAAAAAAAAAAATGATTTAACACTAATAGACCAAAATGCTCTTGCATTTAAGCCCATTTAAATGATTTTGTTGACAGATAACAAAAAATAGTCATGTCACAATAATAATAAGACCAAAAGTAATGTTTTGAAATAACATTTAAAAAAAGTATTAAAATTAAAATGAACTAACACTTATAAATCTAGGATAAAAAATGTAATTAACTTCTATAAAAAATAAGTTTTAAAATGTCATAGTTTTGAAAAATAAGTTTAAAACCCCATTTTGCAAGACCAAAAGAAAAAAGTACTCCGTATTAATAATTACAAACAAACAAAAAATAAAATAAAAAAAATTCAAAAGCGTAGTGTTCAATTCTGCATTTCTGAGTCCTCTCAAAGTAATAGAATATATATATAGTGCAAGAAAGGAGGTAGCTAGGGAAGAAAGAAAGAACCGAATATGGAGATATTAAGAGCATGTATATAGCCTGCCATAATAAGACCATTACACACTATCATCTGGGCTGGCGTTCATTGAAATTCTTCAAGGAGAGACTCAATTGACTTCCTTGAAGTAATTCTATCAATCTCAAATGCCCTCATCGCATCTGGAAGACCTGCACAGATGACGTCAAAAATTACTTATTAGATCTCTCATGGCATTTGCCATTACGGACTTCCTTTTATCCATTATTTAAACATCAACAGGTGAGAGCATTCGGGCATAAAACCAGCCCCGGACCTCGTTACAAACACAGAAAAACTCAGAGATATGAAATTCACAAGGCAAACTAATTTCGTAGAAATCCAGTTTTGTTGGCGTGAGTAGTTGTGTGCTCTCACCCCTTAAAAGGTGTTGGGAGTTCAAATCCCATTCTCTGGTAGACAAATTTTTCTGTGGACCATGAATACAATGCACATTTTTCTTCTACTAACTAATTAATATACTTTCAGTAATCAAATAATATACCTTCCACGAATAGAAAGTACACTTTTAATATACTAAAAGTACATTATATGTGTATTGAATTTACATTATATTATTTGATATATACAAAATAATGTAATTTCAGTACTCAAATAATGTATTTTTTATTAATACAAGGTACAGGTTTTTAATATATTAAAAGTACATTATTTGTGTACTGAATGCACATTAGTTGATAGTATACAAAATAATGTACTCTCAGTACTCAAATAATGTACTTTTTATTTGTGGTCTACATAGCCACAAAATAATGATTGCCTCTCGTATGGAAAAATCAATATGACAATCGTTATGCCATGGAACCGTGTTCACCATCCATGGTGAACACGGTCCCAACGGTGTTAGTGCACTGTTATCTTCTTCTTCTTTTTTTCCTTAATTAATCGCGTGACTTTTCTTCTTCATTTTCACATTTCGCGGTTTCACTTTAATTTGAGGTGAGCAATGATTTCGGACATTCATAAATTATGAATCCATGCCTGCACATTCACTTTGGAACCATGCCTACACATTCCCGTCTGAAACCATGGCTGCTCCTCTGTAGCGCAAGCTTCTTCAACATTCATAAATTATGAATTTTCTGTTATGAGATTATGAATTTTCTGTTATGAGATTATGAATTTTCTGTTATGAGATTATGAATTTTCTGTTATGAGATTATGAATTCATAAATTCATAATCTCATAACAGAAAATTCATAATTTAATAAATATTTTTCTTTTATGCGATTATGAATTTTCTGTTATGAGATTATGAATTTACAGTACATTCATAATCTCATAACAAAAAATTCATAATTTGACCAAACGCGCGCCGTTAACACCACATTCGCGAATTTTATTTTTTTTTACGTAAAAACGGCGCCGTTTGGACCCGTGTTCACCATTCATGGTGAACACGTTTCCAAGGCGTAATTTGCCATCAATATGACCAGCACTTTGCTCCTTAATTGAGCCGGCCCAAGAACAGGGAAAGGTGTCTCCTATAGTTAGGGTCTACTCAATCGTCAATTGTTATATAGTGGACCATGGTCCATAGTACTATGTAAACCATAGTTGTTAAATAAAATTGTAGTAGAATTAAAATGATACTTTAGTTTGTTAAAATGAAATTAGTGTGTGTGAAAATTGAAACTAAAAAACAGAACTCATTCAACAACGTATATTGTCAAATGAAACTGTAGTATAATTAAAATGATACTTTAATGTTGTTAAAATGAAACTAGTGTGTGCAGAAAATGAGATTAAATTCCAGAGTCATATAATAACATATTGTCAAATGAACGTGTAGTGTAATTTAAATAATACTTTAGCATTATTATAATTAAACTAGTGTGTGTGGTAAAATGAGAAACTACAAAATAAAGCTCATACAATAATGTATATTGTCAAATGAAACTGTACTAGAATTAAAATGATACTTTAGTATTGCTATAATGAAACTAGTGTGTGCGTGCGGTAAATAAAACTAAAAAAACAGAACAATATTGTCAAATGAAACTAAAATGTAATTAGAATGATACTTACTTTATAGACTACACTTTTACATGGACCATTGTCCACATTAAAATTTCCCAATATCTCGTGGTCTAACCAAAATAATAATAATCATGTAGAGAGCAGCACTCCTGAAAGAGAAAACTGACCTAACGGTTGCAAAACTTTGAGGGGAAGTTGGTTTGCTCTGGCCATCATAAAATGAATCAGGCTTCTCAAAAGCTCCAAAGAATCCGCGGAGATAAGGATTTCCCTCTAAATTGATATAAAAAGAGTTATAACAGGTTCAAAACATTAATAAAAGGTTGCATTATCACCATAATTATGATTATGGACTCTTTCAAAATTTATAAAAAAAAAAAAAAAAAAAAAAAAAAAAAAAAAAAGTAAATAGATCTGAGAATAGACCAACCTTGAACTTCTTTTCTGTATCATAATAACCAGAAACAATCACGAGTAGGCTAAGATTCTCAAATCCTGCACTTCCAATAACATAGCTGCCTTTAATCAACAAGCAAAAGTTCATTTTACATATTATCATGGTAGATGTCTTAAACTATAGGCCACAAGATAAAAATGAAATTATGATTAACTGTAGACACCATATATGAATGTAACCATAAACCATAAACCAGATAGAGTACAATTACAAAGTACATTAAATTAATTCTTATTGGAGTTAATAATACCCAATATAGTCCTGAACTATAGTGGTTTTATTCAATTTAGTCCTAAATAATTTTTTGTGTTCAATTTAGTCATCGATTTGATGGTTTTACACAATTTAGTTCTGTTTTAAAAATTCTATTAATTGACTGCTCTCATCCTTCATCCCATTTGGGGTGATTCCTTCTTCTTCCCCTTATTAAGACACAAATCTTCGTACTCAAATAATTAGAATTACTATTAGACCTTATTTTTGACACACAACTATCAAAAATTTTAACAAATAACTAAATTGTGTAAAACTACTATAGTCAAGGATTATATTCGTATTTTGTTATAATCTTAGCCTGTATCCAATCAATTAATTAGTTTAACTCATAGACTTATAAATTCATATGTTCTCTCTTATTTTATCAATGTGGACTGTTAGCATCTGCTTATAATCCAAATCTTAAAAATTAAGTTCATCATTTCCTTACGCTGGAACTCTAGTATATCTTCTGTTGAAGTAGCCTCATGTACCAGAAGCTGGGCTATTGATATTCCAATTGAACTCATTCCAATATTTGTTGCCACAGATCTTGACCTACTACCATTAGGATTCACGCCATTCCCAACTTGAGAAGAAAAAAAGTATGGTTAATTGAAAAATATAATGCCATCAGCACACAAGATAACAGATACCATATATTGTGGAAATGCACAAAATGGAACATGAAAATGCATACACTTCTGATTCAGTTAGAATATATATAGCATCTTTAAATTAACTATTAATTATACCACACAACGATGCTGTCAATTATAGCTTAAAAACTAAAAACACCTTCCCATGCCACGCAGGGCTAGCTCAGTTGGTTTGACCTACCACTCTAAAGCATTGCTCCACTCTAAGGGGTCATTAGGAGACCTTGATCGATCACCGCACAAAGTGTACAGACAAGGGGTGGGAACCTGCGATTAACGGGACGACTCGCGATTTACCTCCTCCGGTGGCTCTTGGACAGAGGTTCTGTGAGCGTAGGATTAGCCTAACTTAAGTTGGGAAACCTAATATATCAAAAGAAAAATTTAAAAAAAAAAAAAAAAAAAAAAAAAAAACACCTTCCCATTCTAAAGCCTTACTCAAGTGGCAGTGTGAGTGGGATCCTAGAGGGTCATTAGGAGACCTTGACTGATCACCGCACAAAATGTACACGCAAAGGGTGAGAACCTAGGGATTGATTGGGCGACTCGCGATTTACCTCCTCCAGCAGCTCTTGGACAGGGTTTCTGAAGACCTAAGATTAGTCTAGCCCAAGTTGAGAAATCTAATGTATCAGCAAAAAATTAAATTAAATTAAATTTAAAAAAAAAAAAACAACAAAAAAAAAACACCTTCCCATTCTATTAATCATCAAGCTATATTTGACATCTTTTACATTTAAGGGGTAATTTCATCTCCTTTAAACTTTCACCCAATAGAACCCACGGCCCCTATCAGCTCTCAAGTTTATGGTCATTAAATGGCTCACTTCAACTTCAATTCAAATGAATCTATTATCATGGCATTTCATTCAAAAATTACGACAGTTACATCTAGTTATCAGGCCAAACATGTAATTGAGACATGCTAAATGGTTTTTGACAAGCTTTGGATTTCAAATGTAAAGGTCCAAACCTGTTTTAGTCCATTTCTTGTAATCTTTCCGCAAAATTTGACTTGCTTTCAATTCAGGTACATCTTTCATCTTGTATCTCACTGAAAGAGACAGTTTAAACTCGGTGGTGAGTCTCAACAACAGGAAAGTAAAGAATGGATATTGAGGAATGGCATACAAATTTCGTAGAGGCCATTGCATCCAAATCGACCAGCTCCATTAATCAACAACGTGGCTGTGTATTTGTCTTTTGTAGTAGACTGAGGATTTGTCAAGTTTGCAGTATCCATGAGGATGCCCGCTAACTACAATGACACAAGCATTTTGGTCAGCTAGAAGCAACAATAAGGATAAGCAAAGCAAAATAAATTATGGAACATATTATCAGCATCTAACAATGACTATGGGGTGTTTGGTAAATACTTCATCTGTCTCATTTTATCTGTCCTACTTACTATTCATTAGTCAAACCAACTCTTTCTTTGTTTATTTTCTTTAGTATTTTTTACTTATTTTTAAATTTAGTTTTTTTTTTTTTTAATAGTACTGTTGGTGTTGTTTCTAAATATATAAATTTTGTATACTAATACTAAATTTAATATTATAAAAATTGAATTACAAATAACTTCAGTCAAGCCTCATTAACGGAACCAGACACATAAAATGGGACGGAGGGAGTAGCCGTTAGCTGATTTGGGTTAGTGACTTTGACTAGTTGATAGCATTAACCAGTTGTAAAAAATTGTTTGGTAGCATTAACCAGTTGTAAAAAATTGTTTGGTAAATTAGCTGTTAGCCGATTACATGTAAAATGACTTTCTCAAAAAGCTTATCGAAAAAGCCACTTTGAACAGTTTTTTGAATTTTAACATTTTGGTGCAATAAGTTGTTACAAAAAAACTAATTAATCAAACACTCGTATTGATTGTTTAGCGTCAAACAACTAATAGTGTGATCAAGTAAGCTAAAATTGATTGATAAACTAACTATATTACCAATCAGGGCCTATATCCATACAAGTATAGAAATATATGAGTAATTATATTGATTTAAGGGATACAATTTCTTTGTTCTTATATTGCATCAGGAATGTCTGGGGAAAGCTTTCATCCAAGCATCTACGTTTGTTTCCAGAACACTAATGCTTTAACTTCAAATTCAAGGCATAAAAAAGGTAAGCTTTTCATGTTCCCTCATTCCAAATCATCATTTAATAAGTTTGAACCCCAAATGTAAGACCCCCTCACCGCTTCTGCCCTAGAAACTAATTGAGATAAATCACGGAATGTGCCTCAACAGGTCTGTATGTCCCCAAATGCATGCTTGTACACTAGTGTCCACAACAAATGCGTGTATAGATCATCAATTAATAAACGATCTTGTGAGGAGAAAAAGAGTAAGAAAAGACAATAAACACCGAGGATCTTAGTAAAAAGAAAATAATAAATAAGAACATATAATAAGATGAAGGGTCTTTTATGGGAAAGCATTAGTATATGGAAACAAACACGAGACATGCATAAAGCAACATATGTGTATGAACAAGTGACTTTAGAATAAAGTAAGGTACCAGAAGTTGACTAAATCCCTGTTGAGCCAGTATCTCAGGTGAAGTTAAAACAAACTTTTCAGCAATAAGCGTACAGCAGGATGCTTCCTGCAAAATTTTGAAGTGAGAACTGGGTGGACCATATCTATATGGAATTATATTGTAGAATAAGTTGTTTCAAAAAAAAAATATTGTAGATTAAGTACTCAATTAATCAAGAAACAGGACAGTCTTGGAGATAAAGCTGCATATGTGAAAACAAACATAAAATGGTACCGGCCCTGTTTGGTAAAATGGTTGTTAGCTGTTAGCTGTTAGCTGATTGTGTTAATTAGAGAGTATAAATAGTTGATAACATTAGTTGATTATAGAAAAGTGTTGGGTAAATTAGCTGTTAGCTGATAGCTGATAGTTGTTTGGTATAATTTCCTTTCTCAAAAAGCGAATTGAAAAAGTTGTTTGGAGTAGCTTTTTGAATTTTAGCCTTTTGGAATTGCAAAAAACTAATTAGCCAAACATTTATATTGATATTTTAACTAAATCAAACAATTAATAGTGGTCAAATAAACCAAAATTGGCCTATAGGCCAATTTTTTTACCAAATAGGGCTGGTAGTATTATTTCTTTGGGGTGTTTGGTAAATAGCTATTAGTTGATTGGATTAGTGGGTTTGACTAGTTCATAGCATTAGCTGGTTGTAGAAAGATATTTGATAAATTAGTTGTTAGCTAATAGCTGATTAATGAACATGACTTTCTCAAAAAGCAAATTGAAAAAACTACTTTGAACAGTTTTTTGACTTTTAGCGTTTTGGAGCAATAAACTGTTACAAAAAGCTAATTAATTAAATACTCATATTGGTTGTTTAACCAAGCCAAACAACTAATAGTGGTCAAACAAGTCAAAATTGACTGATAAGCTAATTATGTTACTAAATATGGTCTTTGTCTTTTAAACTACTAACATATATGTTCCCGTTGGAGAAGGAAACCTCTTCTTGGAAAAAAAAAAAAAACATATTTACATGAGATAATTAATCATAAAAAACAATGAAAAAAAGAAGACCAAAAATAAACTACATGACATTGAGGATGTGAAGCTAGTGAATTGTTAAAACTTTACTGGTAACAGGTAGTTCTCAAGACTGTTTATAATTGAAAGAACCACAGCGTTCTAATCCACAACATAACTGTTTACCTCTTTGCAGCTCAATATCTCGACCACTGCCTCTTTAAGAGCCTATCAAGTAATAAGCCCAGTAAGTAATCACTGTTTGCAGTGAGTTAATAGCAACTAAACACATTGGGAAAAAAAAAAAAAAAAAGTGCATTTACCTCTTGTTTGGATGGAAGCTTGTCACCATTCACTAGAGCCAGCGCAAGGCTCCCATACAAATCATAGTAAGACAGATCAATCTGTTCATTATGTCAGCAATTAAAAAGTGAGAAATTAAATCTTCAAAATCTGTGACAGAACTAAAATGAGGAATACTGAAGTTTCAGGAAATCAAATATTCATTATGAGAAGTGACAGTCTTTGTAGTAATGCAATATTCAATCTTGTATATTAACTGACACAATAACATTCAAACTTCAAAGTACATTTTCAAGAGAAGAGATAAGGGATACAAGAAGATGCCTTTAGCTAAAAAAACAGGGTTAAACTAATGTATTTCATATTGATACGGTGAGCAATGAAATGAAAATAAGGTCTTTCGGGGTAACCCAGCCAAAATGACTAAAGATACAAACTTGTAACCACAAGATCAGGAGTTCGAATTCCAACTCTCTTGGTTTGAGCCAGTCAGTTATGGGCAACCTAGGCTGGTTTACCTCCTTATGATCCTTTGCCGGTTAGGGTTACAATACGGAGTTTACCCAATGCACACTCGGGTAGTGGTTGCGGGTTTCTCTGGTCACCCAAAAAGATTAAGGTGTTTTTTCTATATAAGGAAATTAAAGAAGAGATCAAGATTTCAAGTACAGGTAACATTCTTCCCTTTCTGAGTAAACAATGAAATTGGTGTTAGTATAATATTACTATATCAATGTACCTCATCAATGAAAATCAAGGATGAGTGATCAACAAAGCAAGAATCCAGTAGCCATTTGAGCTCAGCATGAGAACTCATGAAATCGGACCGGTTGATGTTAATGACAGGGACAATGCAGAATTGGTTATTATGAACTGTTTCATTCAAGTAAAAGGCATACATGATGGTTGAAGCAACAGAACCAATATCTGCATTACACAAATAGAAATACAATATCATTAAACAGCATACAATGCAATTAATCCAATATACCATCTAATAAACTGATCAAATGAAGCATTTTATTTCTGCCATTAATGATATCCCTTATAAGGCCATCCTGTTAAGATTACCCTATTTGTGGTCAAAGCAGGGCCATGTATCAAACATCATAAACGATTATGGAATATAGAGCAAATTTTACTGTGGACCATGCATTAAAACACATTCACACAAATAGTGAACTTTATGCATACAAATAGTGAACCTAGATTTTACTAAATACTATATTAGAATATACATGCCTAAATAATTAACCTTCAATCAGTTTGTGCATGTTCAAAATAATGAACACTATTTGATTTTGGGTGTAACCCAGGGTATCCACCGAACAGAGTAAATAATTCCTTTGTTGAATTGTAGGCACCTCTTAGAGTGAGATAGCTGGCCTGAAGTTCGAAGATTTAAGACTATTCTATACCCAAGGTCAAGGATGGATCCCTTAGGTTTAGTTAAAGATGGATGCGTCCCTTCCATTTAACCGCATCCCTAAGTTTAATAATGAACTTTATGCACACAAATAATGATCCTTATGCATATAAATAATGAGCCCTCAAAGTTGTTTTTATACAATTTTGTACCCATTTAAATAATGAACATTACACATAAAAATAATGTACCATATGCATAAGAGTTAATTCCATTTTTTGTCCTAGATTTATAGGTGACAGTCCACTTTTAGTCATTTTTTATCATAACATCTTCATTTTGTCCTAGTATTATTGTGACATGACCATTTTTTATATTCCATCAACAAAATCATTGAAATGTCGTTAAATACAAGGATATTTCGATCTTTTTTTATACAAAGCATATTGACCCGCTATTTTTTTTTTATGTAGATTCTTTGAAAAAAATTCATAATTAAAGACCGAAATGCTCTTGAATTTAACGAAATTTAAATTTTTTTGTTGGGAGAAGACCAAAATGATCATGCCACAATAATCCTATGAAAAAAATGGGTGTTATGAAAAAAAATATTAAAAGTGAAGTGTCACCTATAAATCTAGAATCAAAAATGGAATTAACTCGCATAAAAATAATGTACTGTGTAGTAGTGTGTACCTAGTGCACCTAATCAGCATTGGGAATATAGTGGGCAATACTTTTGAGTTTATAAGCCAACAGTCCATAAAATTAAGGTTCAGCAAAAGCTGATAAAGTGTGATTACCAGATGATTGAGGGCCCAATGCAGCATGCAGGTATCTTGAAGGCACCCCAGCTTTGACGTCATCTTTCCCAGCTTTTAGAAACATATTAAGCCTGCAAATTCCTTCACACGGTTCCACAACTTCAATCCGGGCTGAATTCCCATTGTAGAACGAAGCTGCTGTAGGAGGAAGCGGAACTCCGAACCAATTCGTGCTCCCAATGCTCACACTATCTGATCTTTTAAGCTTAGAACTGTGTTCTTCGCTCACTTCAACTGATTTGCCACTAGACTCCACAGGCGATTCATTCAAATCAGATTGAGAAGTTTCCGTGGAGGAATCCGTTTCCGAAGCCGTTTGTACTTTCCCGGAGGGTGACTGATCAAAGGATTCAAGAATCACAGTCGGGGGTGAATCAGTTGAACGGATTCCGGCCGTGGCTTCGCCGGGAAAATTGATAAGAGGCCTTTTGTGTCCCCGGTCACCGGCGTCGGAACTGGACCTCGGAAAAGTTCTTCCTGCAACCTTTCTTTGAACTTCGAAAGTGTTCCCCCTGCTGAAACCGGCGGCGTCGCCTCTCCGCATGCCGGCAAAGAAAGGGTTGTCTCGAACGCGAACGTATTCTTGATTTTGGTTTTCGGCAGACATTGAGGTTGTTGACGGAGGCGGTGTTGGAATAGGAAGGCGGAAGAGCGGAGAGAAACGAGGGCGTAGAAGGAGATGAGAAGAGAAAGAGAGAGAGAGGGGGGGTATGAGGCGACATAGTAGAGGCCGGCGCTGGATAGTGTTGTGAATTCCGCCGCCGTGGAGAACTCAGATGGACAGCAACTCTTTTTTTGGTTTGGAGTGGCAGTCGCCGGGTGTATCGCCGATGACATCAAAAGTGACAAACCGTACTCATGACAGAACTACACCCATATACAAACAATGGAGTGACATGTCGGCAAATTATAGTATTATACTGTTGCCGCGGTCCACAATGCATTGGTGTCCACACATCAAATATGCAATTCAGTTTCATTTCAACACAACCACACTATTATTTTGTTATAATTACAGTTTAGCTGTACATTATACACTCAAATATGTGAAATTGTATTCAGTTTCATTTTGTATACACTGCAGTTTCATTTCAACACAACTACAATTTTATTTTAATTCAATTGCAGTTTCATTTGATAATATAATAAAAATAATACGTGAAGCAGTGCCAGTTTAGATACACTATAGTGTGTGCCGTTTTGGACCATGGTCCATAAAGCTTTGTGGACCGTGGTCCACATTATAATTTATGTGAGATGTCACATACGGCTTGATTAAATGAGCATTTGAACTGTTAAAAATAAGAGCAAAATATGTATTTCAAGTTACTTTCTTTCTCCAATAAATTATTGTTTTATCTAAGATTTAAAAAGAGTAAAAGACATTTTTGGTCCTAGACTTATATAGTGGCACGGACAATTTTAGTCCTTTTTAAAAAAATCAGACAATTTGTGGACAATCTTATTATGACGAGGACAATTTTGGTCCTCCGTCTAAATTTCTGTTAGATGGCCCGTTAGATAGGGGGTACATTCGTCTTTTCAGCATACGTCCTCCATTTTAATAGGGCAATGTGCTTCTGTTCTTCATTCCAGATTGACGAGCGAAGAGGCAGATTGAAGAAGCAAATCTGGTCGAAGCAACACTCTCTCTAAACAAGCAAATTTGGTCGAAGGAAAATGCAAGGAGGAAGTTGTAACTCTTCCAGTTCATCAACTACAAGGCGAAAGGTATATGGTGAATGGATTTCGATTCAAGTTTGTGAATGTGGGCAAGAAATGGTTTTGAGAACATCTTGGACCAATGAGAACCGGGGAAGGAGGTACTGGGAATGTTTAGGATGCAAGGTTAGATGCAAATTTTTAAATTTGTTTGGAGAGAATTATTTTTGTTTTGTTTTTTTTTTTTTGGAGAGAATTAATCATTATTATCCATCCTGATAAATTTGTTTTTTTTTTTTTTTTTTTTTTGAGTTTGATGATTCAGAAATGTGAAATTGAATGACTTATATATATATATATATATATATATATATATATATATATATATATATATATATATATATATATATATATATATATATTTAATTTGTGCAAATTTATCAGGATGGATTCGTGGCTTGGTTCGATCCCCCAATGTGCCCTATGTCAAAGAAGATTATACCGGACTTATTGAAGAAAGTTAACAAAAGTGAAGAAGAAATAGCATATTTAAAATGCAAGTTGAGCAAATGGGAAGACATTCAAATTAAGAATAATCGTAGGAATACAAAATGTAGATCCATGATGATGTTGGTTGCAGTTGCCCTTATTGTACTATTAATTTCTTATCTTTCAATTGTTGTATCTGTAGGGAGCAACATGTATATGCTTCCATAATTGGTGTTTGGGTTAGCAATGGATATTTGGTTTATCAGTTTATTTGTAGGGAGCAAATGGATATTTGAGTTTATCAATGGATATTTGGTTTCACTAGATATTTGGTTTATTCAGTTTATTCAAATTCAATTTATCAGTTTAGCAGTTTATCAATGGATATTTGGTTTATTCAGTTTATTCAAATTCAGTTTATCAGTTTAGCAGTTTATTCAAATTCAGTTTATCAGTTTATCAATGGATATTTGGTTTCACTGCCAGTTTTACAAAGCAAAGCTACACAAATCAGTTTATCAATGCTTCCATATTCACTGCCATTTTTCTGCCAATTTCAGTTTTACAAAGCAAAGCTACACAACATTCATTCACTGATTACATTCATTCACTGCCAATTTCAGTAAGAATCTGCCAATAAACACCATTACATTCACTGCCAATTTCAGTTTTAAAAGCTAAGCAAGAATGTCAGTTTTGATGTCAAAAAAACAAGGCTAAAACAGTGATTACATGGAACCAAAAAAAAGAACATCTTAATGTCATTCATTCGATGTCCACAGGTGTATCCACAGTGTTGGTGAACCTTGACTTCAGTGTTGTCCTAGATCTTGTCATAGGTGCCCTCTTAATTGGTAATTTGTTCCTTGATGTCAACCCTAAGTTAGACCTTTTGGGAGGAGGAGGTCTAACACAAACATTCTTTGGCTGAGGAGGTGTAACAGAAACATGCTCTGGCTGTGTAATTGAGATTTCATCAGGTTGAGGTCCATTGTCATACCTTGCTGCCACCTCTGCTGCTTCATTCCAAAATTCAGTCATGTCTTCAGCTGCAACACTGCTCCCTTCAAGTGAAGTCCCAGTAACTGCTGCAAGTGGAGTCCCAATAGCTGCTGCAAGTGGAGTCCCAAATGTGTTCTTCCTTGTCCTAGTTGCTGCTGCAAGTGGAGTCCCAGATGTGTTCTTCCTTGTCCTAGTTGCTGCTGCAAGTAGAGTCCCAGAGTTGTTCTTCCTTGTCCTAGTAGCTACTGCAAGTGGAGTCCCAGTAGATGATGGAAGTGGAGTCCCGGATTTGTTCTTCTTTGTCCTTTTTCTTGGATTCAGCTACATCACAAACAAACAATGGATTATAGTAAATATCTTTCTTTAACAGTAAATATATGCATACATTAAAAGTAGTTGTTGTCAATACCTTTCTTTGACTTGCAGAAGGATCTTGAGGGCATGTTCTAGAGTTATGGCTAGTCTTATTGCATTTCTTGCAATGCTTAACTAGCAAGCTAGGGTTCATATGTGTCCCATCCTTGGTGATTTCATCTTTGCCCCTTTTTCTCAATTTCTTGGATCTTCCCACCTTGGTTGTGTATAGTGGAGGCAATGGCGGTTCCTTGTCTGACCTTGGCCATTCACTTGGACCAGAAAGTGGGTTTATCCTCCCTCCATAGGTATTCAAGTAATTGTTTATTGAGTAGCAAGGGTGTACATAGTTATGAACAGTCCATCTTCCATGTTTCATCCAGATGGCACATACAGCATGTTTACAAGGTATCCTAGTTAACTCCCACCTCCTACAACTACAGCTACCCCTGAACAAATCCACTGTATGTTGCTCTAAACCCTCTAACCCTACCATGCACTTTATCTCAAATAGATTATCATCACTTTGAGCCGCTAAACATCCAGCAGCATCCCTCTCAATTACAGAAATTATTGAAGGACAGAATGGACCCTTCCACTTAGTAGCCTTTTGTTTATTTTCAAATAATTTAGCCATAAGTAACTTCCTAATAGATTCTACACAAGATATTAGTGGTTCTGCCCTTGCATCTAAAATCATGGCATTGAAACTTTCTGATATGTTGTTCACTAATGCATCAGAATTAGAAAAAGTTGTGAAATGGGACCTTGACCATTCTGAAGGGTGTTTCTCAGCTAGCCATAAGTATGCATCCATATCTAACTTCTTGATCTCCTCCATAGCATCAGTGAAGCTGTTTACTGTTGTTGCCTTGGCTGCTGCCCATAAACAATCCTTCATTGCCTTGCCACAAAACCTGCCAACTTCATGTTCCCATGGAGATGCCTAACACAAAATCTATCTGTGGCATTTGGAAACACTTGCTCGCAAGAGACCTTTCTGTTTGTCTATATATATATATATATATATATATATATATATATATATATATATATATATATATATATATATATATATATATATATATAAGGAGTAAACAGAATTAGTGCAGAATTCAAATTTCAAAATTCAAAAATCATAATTCAAAATTCAAAAATTAGAATTCAAATTTCAAAATTCAGATTGATAACTCAGAATTCTATACCTGAAATAAAGGTTAGTTGTTGTTCAGCTTGTGGTGTGATCTCTAGGTCATCCTGAAGATACTGCAAGAACCAAATCCATGAATCTTTTGTTTCTCCTTCTACAATGGCATAAGCCAATGGGAATATACTTTCATTTCCATCTACACCCACAGCAGTTAAAAGTTGTCCTCCAAACTTGTTCTTTAGAAGTGTGCCATCTACTCCAATTATCTTCCTACAAAACTTATATCCATCCCTACAAGCTTTCCAACAAAAGTACATCCTAAGAAATCTTGTCTTTCCATCATATATCTTTTCAGTTTCCTTGACATGGCAAGAACTCCTTGGGTTAGTTTATTCAATCTCTAAAGAATAATCCCAAATCTTGTTAAAAAAACTCCAGTGCATCTCCTTCAATTACTGTCTTTGCTCTTTTTATTGTTCTATAGGCTTTCTTGTTACTTATCTTCATTCCTTCGTCAGTGTTCACCCTGTCTCTAAACTGTGCACTTGTCCAGTTTAAGTTGCTTCCAATCTCTTTTATCCATCTCTTGGCAAGTCTACTTGATTTCACCATTCTATTCTTATACACCCAACCACAGCCATCATGCTCTTCATCAAAAGTTGTAATCCTCCAAGACATTGCATTTTTCTCTTTCCATAAATTAATTCTGAAAGGGCATCCTTCTTGTCTACATCTTACATACATCCTAATCTTATCATTCTTAGTGAACTCTAATTCCTTGCCATTGTTGTATGCATAATTGTGGACTGCATCTTTCACTTCACCCTTTGTTCCAAATGTTAATCCAACACAAAACTTAGGGGATTTCAAATCAGTGCTTGCCCTAAAAACTGACCATTTATAATTCTGTTCTTCATCACTACCTTTGCCACTATCTTCATTAGACAGATTCAAGCCAACATCCTCAACTACTCTAGGCACACTCCCACTCCCATCCACAGTCTCTTTCCCTTTCCCTTTCCCAGCCACACACCCTATCTGTTTCCCTTTCCCAGCCACACTCCCAATCTGTTTCCCTTTCCCAGTCCCTTCAAACTCCACATTTGGATCTACATTAGTCTCAAAGTCTAAGTCATCATCTTCACCACTTTCATTACTGTACTCATAGTCCTCTGAAACACTGTCTGACTCATCACTCTCAGTAT